AACTCGCATGAGGAAAGAGATTATGAAATATAAATCAATAGGAACAAAATAGAAAGAAAATGCTGTTTTATTTAAAGCTATAACCTGTTAACAAAACTCCTTTGTATATTTACTTTTTTTTTTCTGTAGTGAGATGTAGAAGATGTCATAGTTTCTTTCTTGTTGCTATGATAAAATACTCTTACAAAAACACCTTAAGGGAGTAAAGGTTTATTTTGGTTTATAGTTCCTGGGGGACACAGTCTATCATGGTGGGAAAGACATGGCAGCAAGTTGGAATAGGACCAAGAAGCTACTGGTGGCATTATATCTGCATTCAGGAATCAGAGAATGAACAAGATACGGGGCTGAGTTATAAGGCCTCAAGGCCCATGCCCAGTTACTCACTTCCTTCACCAAGACTCCACCTCCTAATGGTTCCACAACCTTCCCAAATAGTGTCATCAGCTGGGGACCAAGTGCTCAAACATGTGAGCTTAAGGTAGACATTTCACTTTCAAATCACACCATTCCTGGTCCCCATGGACTCATGGCTATTTCTTGTTGCAAATGCATTCAGCCCAGCTAAATCTTGCAGCTCTGTGTTGGCTATCTGGAGCTTGTGACAAAACTGTCTGGGTTCCACAGGGCTTGGGTGCCCCACTTCTCTAGCTCTGTCTCCTGAAAAACCCATGGCCTCTCACTAGGCAGGCTTCACTACATGCCTACAGATTTCTTTGGTGCATGTTTCATGGTCCTGGCATCATCAATATCCTGGAGTCTCCACTGAAATTTAGGATTCACCTTCATGGTTTCACGTAATGGCCATTCAGGGCCTCCTTTCAGGGACTCCATCCAGAATAACTTCATGTGTGTTCACCCCATTCCTCCCTCTCTGGGCACTGAGTCTCCTGTGTACTAATGGCTATCAGATTCCTCAATACTCACATCTGATGTGGGTGGGATAAATGAATCACAATGGATAAATTTAAACTTGAGAAATACATTTTCATAAACATACTTCTCAAATTCTCCCAAAATTAAGGGATATGTTTATGGGGCTGTGTGTGTGTGTGTGTGTGTAGCAGGGGAGGTTCAGTATGAAGAACATAGAAGACTTTGAGACAAGTTTACTTGAAGTTTAGATGTTTCACATGGTTCTTCCATTTACTCCTGCTTCTACCTCTGGTTAGGCAGGAGTGAGCAAACAGCAACTAGAGTGTCTGTGACTGCATGTGTTGCACTACTTTGCCCAAGAGGTTAATTCCAGCTACTATTAGGTATTCTTGGAAGACTGCCAAGGTGCCTGGGAGTGTTCATTGTCCCAGATGCTATTTCTGTGGGAATTTGCACTTCCAGTTTGTTGATTATTCTTTTCCATTACCCATGCCCTCCCAGCAGGAATTGAAACATGAGAAGTCAGACATTTTGAATATTTTATTTATTATTTTTTAATTTTATGTGTATGAGTGTATTGTCTACATGTAGGTAGGTGCACCCATGTTGTGCACTGCCCACAGAAGTCGGAAGAGGGCATCAGATCCCCTAGAATTGGAGTTACAGATGGTTGTTAGCCATCATGTGGGTGCTGGGAATCGAACCTGGGTCCTCTAGAAGAGCAGCTAGTGCTCTTAACTGCTAAGCCATCTTTCCAGCCCCAGAACTCAGACATTTTAGGAGAAAACTTATATATCTCTTATTTTCTAAGTGGGTATGAGAATTTTTTCATTTTGGTGACTAATCAATGAATCCAAAATAATTTTATTTTAAAAATACTTTATCATTTTTATTTTATGTGTATAAGTGTATTACCTGCATGTATATAAATGCACCCATGTCATGCAATGCCTGCAGATGTCAGAAGACAGCATCGGATTCCCTGGAACTGGAGTTATAGACAATTGTTAGCCACCATGCGGGTGCTGGGATTTGATTCCAGGTCCTCTGTAAGAGTAGCCAATGTCCTTGACTGCTGAACCATCTCTCCAGCCCCCCAAATCATTTTCTGTACAGCACATTGTTCTGTTTATTCCTTGATAAAATTGGTAAATATTTAGGTTTTGCAGACTATATAATCTCTCTTACAACTATCCCACTCTGCATTGTAATGTGCAAAGCAGTCATAGATATAACCTGAACAAATTAGTGTGCTGGTGTCTTAAACCATTCCATGCAGAAATAACTGATAACCTGGATTTGGTTCACAGCCATAGTGATATTTGACAGTCCTTGGTCTAGGGCATCAATTTTACACAGATTACAAATAAAGATCTATTATGTAAACTAATGTTTACAAATGTAAGCCATGACTTCATCTAATGATGGTTGGTACTAGACAAGGCTGGCAAGAGGGCAGGTTGTATTGCTGAGGGTAAGTAAAGAATGTGGAGTGGAAGGCAGCTCTAGAGCAAACTGTGCTGGTCTGGGAGAAACTGTGATACAAGAGAGTCTATCGTCCCAAACCAAGTAATTTCTGTGCTAGCTTTTACATAACCATCTAAGGGCAACCATTTATTCTCTTTTTATGATTAGGTAAAACACTTCTGAATCTCAAACTCCCTTGATACTAAGTCATTTTCAGAACTCTGAATCATATCAAGGGTGGTTTTATGAATTCCTCTGTGTCTGCACTTTGTCCTCATTTTCTCTTACTTTATTGCTAATAACCAAGATTCCTATGATCAGGAAGTGAATTTTGCTTTACCTAACAATGATAAACTAGGATGAAGTAATAATCTGGTTGAAATGCAGTTAGTCATCAAGTGTGAAGGAAAAGTGGTTAGAGCCTTTCATTTCACTAGGCAAGGAAGACTGAAGAGTCTCAGGGCAGGAGCAGCAAACCCAGATAGCTATAGGGTGTTTGTAAACAACATTGACTAGGACAAGGATATAAAGAAGGAACAGTCACTATTCAGTTAATGGTGATTTCTGTCCTCTGGGAATATTTGCCTGACAGTCTGAATTCTTCCCTTCCCTTCCCTTCCCTTCCCTTCCCTTCCCTTCCCTTCCCTTCCCGTCCATCTTTCCCTCCGCCGACATCTTTCCCTTCCCTAGGGAAAGGAGCCCCGTGCGAAACAATTCTGTGTCCTTCTTCTTTCTCTTCAGTTCTAAAGAGAAATTAGAGATTTTTAAATGTCTGAGAAGTTATCAGACTTCTAAATATTGTCAGTTAACTGAAAAATCAATATTTGACATTTACATATTTTGACAAATATAAGCTATGTATATGGCCTGTATGTTTATGGGCCACCATTTTGTATTCTTTGCTGTGAAAGTATTTGGTATCTGAAATAGCAATGAACCTTGCACCTTCCTGGGCCCACTAGAGTACAGAATGCAAATAAAGGAGCACCTTTATTACTATTATTATATGTGCACATGATGTGTGCACCACAGCATACATATAGAGGTGAAAGGATAAATTTATGGAGTTATTCTCTAATTCTACTTTTACATGGGTTCTGAGAATTGGAATAAGGTCACCAGGCTTTCATGGTGGGTGCTTTTAACCCATTGAATTAGGTCACCAGACTTTTGTGGCAAGTGCCTTTAACCCATTGAGCCATCCTGATGGTCCAAGTACCCACAGTCTTAAGTAGTGATGTGTGACCCAGAAATTTCCTTTTGAATACATTTAGAAGATAATTATTGGTAGCATGAATTGAGTAGACTTTTTATAATTCTTTATATTTGTTCAAAGATATATTTAGGGCAAAACAATCATCACTGTAGATAATAGGCATATCTTCCTACTTGACTCTTTTGAGTGATTCTGTCATGAAAATATTGAAAATTCCAGTCACATTTTTCCCCTTTTAAAGAAGTGTTCATCTTTTATACTGTTTTTTTACATTATGTAGTCCATGTACCATAGTGTGATAAACACATTTCTTTATTTAAATATCCCCCCATTAATGAATATGAATAGTATTCTAGTAAACATCTCTTATTCATATGCCCTACAGAATGGTGGACATTCTGTGCCTATTACAGAATAGTGGACATTCTGTAATAAAATAATCCTCTCCTCATTCACATATGTAACTAATATTCTTAGAAACATCTTTTATATATGAGTCTTCCACAGTATGCTCCGTGCACCAGTGTTTAGTGACCTTCTGAAACCCTTGTCTCCCCTTTCCCAGTGTATTCCCAATTTTTAGATGTACAAAGCCACCCACAGTGAAGATTATATTCTCCTTCCTTCAGCTAAGTGACATAGATATATGAGGAAAAACAATAAGGGGGATTTTGAGATGTCTTTGGAACATAATCAAAAGAGCAAACCATCTTGGATCATGTGGACTATAGGAGGAGGCAGTGCAGTAAGAGAAGAGCTTGGTTCCCAGACCATCTCATGGAGCTGAGATTCCCAGCTTTCCCTTGGTTATCTATCCCCATTCTGTTACACAAGGGAGAAAATCCTTCTGTCTTAACAAAGGCATTTTCAGTTAGGTCTTGGTTATATCCACCAAATCTGTATCTCAACTAAACCTATATCCTAACATTTGCAAAATAAACCTTTGGATTGAGATTATGAGAAGGGGGAGGGAGCAATAGAAATATATGGAAGTGACAATGCTCTGTGATCCTTATGTTTCAATCAAAAATATAAAAAGTAATGCATATTAAAATAAATATAAAACTAAATGTACAGTTTTTATTTAAACTAATAATATAGCATTTTTTCTAGTTTATTTTTTATGCAGAGTAGTTATGTATTCAACAAATGCTTATTGAAGAGCAGAATTTGGTTTTAAAAATTGTGGAGGGCCATTGAAGCACTGAGGGAGATGTAGGTGAATAAAAAGTACTTTTTCTAAGCAGATTACAAGGTAGTTTTAAAGGTAACATGTTTTGTTTATTTTTGTTGTTTTTGTTTTGTTTTCGAGAAAGAGTCTCAATATGTGGGTCCCGGATGACCTGAAACTTGCTATATAGATCAGGCTAGAGCCTGAAACTCACAGAGATCCACCTCCATCTGCCTCCCAAGTGCTAGATTAAAGGTGTATGCCATCAAGCCTGGCCCAGATCAAACGTTTTTAAAAGGTGGCATATTTTAAGTACCATAGGAAAGTCCCCAGGAAGACATACTAGCTCACAAAGACACTGTCATATATGAGTCCCATGACTAAAAGTTTGTTTGAGCAGGCTCTCAGCAATTACATACAGTTCAAAAGACTTACATCACTAATACCACTAGATATACTTTGAAGTTAAGAGCGTTTTTGTGTGTATTTGCTTGTGGTTTTTAAAATTGAGATTTTGTTCTTATTGTGATCTTTTAAACTAATTTTTCTATGGATATAAAATGACTCCTCATTAATCAAATAAACCAAATGGTGATGGTAAAAAATTTTCTTGGATAATGAAAATTCAGCATTTTGTTAAGCTATTACAAAAATATTTCTGGCTAGGTATGTTGGTACACACCTGTAATCCCGGCACTTGGAAGGCAGAGGCAGGTGGATCTCTGTGAGTTTGAGGCCATTATGATCTGCATAGCAAGCTCCAGGGCAGTGTGTGTGTGTGTGTGTGTGTGTGTGTGTGTGTGTGTGTGTGTGTATTGCTGCCTCAATTTATTAAGTAAACGATGCTGTCTTTTGATCATTGTATTCTAAAAAAGAAATCTTAGGACAGTAGATACCTTTTCATCTCTGCTAGGTAATAAATTCTAGCTTTACATTTTTTATTATATTATATATATATGTGATTATTATAGCATATGTGTGTGTGTGTGATTTCCCTGTGTTATCACAGGAATATAGTGTGACAACAATAGTGTCAGCATGCACAAGACCCATGCAAACTCAAGCAGGCAAAAACCCGGCATAGAACTGGGGAAATGGGCAGCAGGCCCCAACCTTATCCAAAGAACTATTGGCAGCTTATTACTACTGGGTGAGGGAGAGTTGATATTCTTTAAGGGAGTGACTCTAGATAGTCTAACTTCGATAGACCATAACATAAATGACAGAATGCATGAAATCCAGTGGGATGGGCTATGGAAGAGTGCATATGGGGAAGAGGGTGTAAAGATGATTAAGATATTTGATATGAAATACACAAAAGTTCAATAAAAATATAAAAAAAGAAAAAAAAAGAATTAACTTTTGGAAGTAAGTGGTTGTAAGTAAAACTGGGAATATTGGTTTAAAATGAAATGCAGTTCTTTTTACTCATACTTTTGGATCACTCTAACAAGATAATAAGCATTCTCCATTATATGTAATTGAGTTATTTGGTAATATCAGTGCGCCTCATTAAAAGGATTCCAACAATAAAAAAAACTTGAAAAACTAAAAAAAAAAAAAATAGAGAATATAGTGTGGACTTTTATTGATATTTTGTAGACTGTTAAACGATTATTAAGTGTTTAAGTCCACTAGAGTGTTTAATGGCAGTTTTATAAGACCGAAATTTTAGTTTTATGAATCTTCTCTAACCTATCTAATTCAGGTTGAATATGAAGGCTTAAAGCATGAGATTAAGCGATTTGAAGAAGAGACAGTGCTGCTGAACAGTCAGCTGGAAGACGCCATCCGACTGAAAGAGATCGCAGAGCATCAATTGGAAGAAGCCCTTGAGACGCTGAAAAATGAAAGGGAGCAGAAGAACAACCTTCGGAAGGAGCTCTCCCAGTATATCAACCTCAGTGACAACCACATCAGCATCTCAGTAGATGGGCTAAAGTTTGCTGAGGATGGGAGTGAGCCCAACAATGATGACAAGATGAATGGGCACATCCATGGGTCTCTTGGGAAACTGAATGGAGACTATCGCACTCCCACCTTAAGGAAAGGAGAGTCCTTACACCCTGTGTCTGACTTATTCAGTGAGCTGAACATTTCAGAAATTCAGAAATTGAAGCAGCAACTCATGCAGGTAAGAACTTTATATAAATCTGTAAGAATGAATTCCTTGTTGGTCATATGTAGTGTGTTATAGGATTTCTGATTCCCACATTTTAGTTCTGGATTAATTTTTCACATTAATTAATTCTTCAATTTGAAGATTTGAAAGTATAATATTTTAGAAAGACATGCCAGAAGGGATGTTGAAAAGAAATTTATCATTTGTATCACTTTGAGAAATGAGTTGGGGACATAGTTCATTAGTAGGGAGCAAGTCCAAGGTCTTGAATTCAATCTGCAGCTCCATAAGAAAGGAATTTCTTCTGCAATGGTCCTTGAGCCCTGGGTTCATTGCCCCCTGTTGCATGAGGGAGCTTTGTTGATAAGAGTTGAGAGGAGAATTAGTATTCTCTCTACTCCTTGTTCCACTATGTGCCGTGAACCTTAGGTGTAGAGATTCCATTGTAGATGTGTCACTTTGGGTTAGGCATTTTACAAAACTTATTCTCTGTGTGTGACCATTTGTGGAACTCTGTTATAGTCTCTGTCTACTGTAAAAGAAGCTTCTTTGATGAGTGGTGACTGGTATACTTGTCTGTTAATATAAGGATCCATATTTAGCAGATAGTAAGAAATTACATTTGTCTAGAGATGTGCCAGCCTTGGGTTTTTTTCTAAGATCTATGACCTCTCCAGATACATGTATTTGGATGTGTTTACAGTACCACACATGAGTTCCCTCCCATTGAGTGGGTTTTAGGTACAATTAGGTAGCTGTTGATTATCCCCAAGATAAAAGTGCCACTACTGCCCCAATATAGTTTACTGTGCAGGTCATTGTTGTGGTTATTAGGCCTTAAAGCTGGGGTTGTGGAAGAGGGTAAGGAAAGATTGTAAGAGCCAGGGGAGGAGGTACAGGGCCATATGGAAATAGAGTCTTACAGGCTTCTAGGACCTTGCTCTTATGAACTTATAGCAATGGTAACAGCACGCTCAAGACCCATGCAAACTCAAGCAGAACTATTGGGTAGTTGATTACTATTGGGTGAGGAAGAGCTGATCTTTAATGGAGTGATTTTAGATAGGCTGAGTAGACCTCAGTGGATGAACTTGCACTGAGGAATGTCAGGGGACACTAACTTGACTCCATAGATCTTAACATAAATGAAAGAATGTATGAAATCCAGTGTGTTTGTGTGGGGGGGTGTTATGGGAGGATGCTGATGGGAAAGGGGAATATAAAGATGATTAGATGTATATGAAATACACAAAAATTAAATAAAAAGGAATTTCTTCAATTTGCAAATTAGATTCCGGCTAGGTGTAGGAAAAGACTCATGACACATTTCTGAATAAGAAAAG